CTGTAGAGAATGGGAAGTATCCTTCCCAGCATAGGAGTTCATTATTTTCAAGGCATACACTATGTTCACCAATTCATTAATTTATTTTGGTAACCAGTAAATGTCAAACAATATCTGTACACACTATTGACACATTAAGGTTTTCATTAAACAATGAAGATACCTTTCCTCATTACATTATTTATTTATAGCATATAGATCTGTCAGATAAATTATGGCAGAGTAGCTAAAGCCAGATCTTGTGACAATTGAATCATAGAATATGGGCCAATAACCTTTAAAATGAAAGATATATGATGAAAATTAAGGGTGTTTAATTAGCATAAATATAATGTTAACCGTCTTCCCCTTATTACATATTTTATGCCTAATTTATAATTGTCACCGTGTTTGTTTCTCAACATTGGTTTTGAATTCTATTTTTTTTAACCTTCACTGCTTTGTTTTGGAATGAGGGAGATACTAATGTTTTAAGAAGTAGAAGTTTAAACCTGTTAAGTGTCAATGGACACATTCTAAGAGGAGAAAGTCATAATTCCGACGATGGGGGGTTGGGATGCATGCCTTAAAAAGGAGATCATGAATGTTCAAATAAATAACAGCTCTGAAAATACCAACCTCCTCTTGAAAACAAATATATGTCAATGCCCTTGTATAAAGTGTCACATACCAAAACTCTGAATACTGTACTACCAATTTTCATAAGCTACATGATGTCTAGGTCTACTGCTTTGAGACCTGGGAGTGCAATGTTGGGCATCTAAATCTTTAGACACCTAAATAAGTGACCTAATTTGTAAAGGTGCTTAGCACCCAGAGCACCGATTACTTTCAGTACTATATGCCCCCTTTACCTGTTTAGCAGTAATCATGCTTCCCCTAGCCTATGGACCCCAGCTCCTTTGAAATGCCTTTGAATGGCAGTTGAGGGAACTCAGCACCTCCCAGGATCCTGTCTTCACTGAGACTCAAGTAAAAACTCATTCATCCAGATCTCACCTGTCTAAAAACCTTATTACCTTAAACAGTGGCAGGTTCCCTGGGTGTTACAGGGATGTTCAGATAAGACTGGAGTATGGAAAGGAGACTACCTGGTTTAACAGAAACAATAACTGAGTCCCTTTTGTTCTACTAGGTCAAAATTATTCAGGTGCAGTTGGCTAGCACAAGGCCAATAAGCCACTAAAAGTCAGTAAATAGTGCACAGACTTTGTACTGACTCTCTGAGTAGAGGTGAATTTCATCCACTATACCCTGTTGAATCAGCTGGATAACCTTGGGGGAGCTAGTTTTCAGTCTTGTACTGAAGCTCATGAGCACTTATGTCTGAGTTCTGTAGCATCCTGCCAGGTGGCCTAGGGAAAAGCTGATGATCTGTAATAAAGTGACTATGTTGTGCAGGATTCCTTTAAGGTTGAGAACTGATTGGTCAGGTATTAAGTGATCATCTTGCGAAAAGTGTTCACCCATATGTGATATGGTGGTTTTGTCTTTTATAATTTTCCTGTGAGAGTTCATTCAAGAGTACTTTGCCTGCTTTCACCCACAATAATTTTCATTCAAGAGTACTTTGCCTGCTTTCACCCACATGATTGTTATTGGGGGTTTTTTAAGTAAACTGGTTGAGGCACACCACATGTTGTGGTATGAATGTGTGGGACCATGAATCTTGAAAGGTGTAATGTGGATGTTGATCACCGTAGCAGTGTAGCTAGGTCTGCAGGTTTTGCATCTGATGTTCCGGAAGGACCTGTTGCCACTTTGAGTTTGTGTGTCCTGGTCTATGGGCAGCTTGCTTCTGAAGATGTACTTGGAGAAGTGATTGGGGTGGAAGGTGATGATTGCAGCCCAGAAAAGGGTTTCCTTCAGGATGAGGTCCCCCACCGAATGTGGGTCGTAGTTGTTATCCGAAGAAATGACAAAAACACCCTTTCACTGGTGGGCAAATGCTGCACAAAGCCATCATTCTATATCAGACCTTATCTGTCTTCATCCTCAAGGGAAACCTGCACAACACTTTCAAAAGATGAGCCTGGAAGTTTAAACTCATAACTTTGCTAGACACTACAAATCGTGCTCTCAATAAAGACATTGGATTTATGGCATATTACAACAATGTGTAACCCGCTAGCTCCTTTCATATCCTATGGCTTATACGCTGTGTCTAGACTACATTCCTCTGTCAGCAGAGGGATGTAAATGAGGCACTTCAAAAGTGCAAATGAAGCGGGGATTTAACTATCTCGCACTTCGTTTGCATAATCGCATCATGGCGCTCTTTCGAACAAGAACCATTTGAAAGTAAAACCATGGTCTAAAAGTGAGGAGTACAGGATCTTTTGAAAAAGCCTGCCATTTTTGAAAGAACCCTGTCTAGACCGCAGTTTTACTTTCAAAATGGCGCTTGTTCGAAAGAGTACCATGATGCAATTATGCAAACGAAGTGCAGGATATTTAAATCCCTGCTTCATTTGCACTTTCAAAGTGCCTCATTTACATCCTTCTGCCAACAGAGGGACATAGTCTGCCAACAGAGACAGAGATGCTAATGAGCCACTTCACTTTGAATGCTCCCCTAAAATATGTGCAAATTACTTACACGAAACTGTCTGCTAAATCTTGTATTTAGCTGTGACACTCTGGGCACATACAATTTATTCTGCCCATGGTGGAAGAAATGAGAGAGAACATTGCTGAAGGACCCTCTGAGGTAGGAGGGTCCCAGAGCCAAGGGTGCAGCCCAAGCTCAAACAAAGCTACACTGCCGTTAAACAACTACTTAGCCTGAGCCCCATGAACCTGGATCATCCCATGAGGGCCAGTGGCAGGCAGCAGTGTAGCGAAGGGAGAGGGGAGGGGGCAGTTACCGCCGGGTGCAACGCTAGGGCAAGTGCTGGGAGAATGGCATGAGCAGGTCTGACATGGCCGCAGCTGCTGTGGCAGGGCCAGTCGGTCCCAGACCCGCCCACACCATTCTCTCTGCACTCACCCTAGCATGACGCCCGGGAGCAACTGCCCTCCCCTCCGCTGCCCCTCACTATGCCCCTGGTGGCAGGTGTCGTAACTGCAGTGTGTAGACATACCTATGGGTATCTTTCCCAGACCTGAGGAAGAGTTCTGTGTAGCTGGAAAGCTGGTTTCTCTCACCAATAGAAATTGGTCTATGAAAGGCTATTATCTCACACACCTTGTTTCTCTAATATCCTGTGACTAACACAGCTACAACACTACATACAGCAAGATATTACCTCAGTCCAACTGAAAATAATGAAATGAAAACTATTTTGAAAGAGGGTAGTTCTGTGTTGAATTCTCTGTGGTAGAATATTTGTGGGCACCTGATGTAAGAGGATCTTTTAATTATGAAGTCTAACAAGAAGAAATGACCATTAATCCTCCCCAATGTTTTCAAATGAAGCTTATGCAGAAGATTTCAGTGAGTTTTAACAATAAGGGAAGTTTGGAGCACATTTGTTGTTCTATTACTTCAGGACAAAAAATGGTCTGATGCTGAGTGCTGAATTTCTTAAATAACCCTCTTTTTTTAATTGTCTTCTAAGTTAAGCCCAATAATCAATTTATTTTAAAGTTCTCAGAAAATGAACTCTGTACTCAGTGAGTAAATAGTTTATAAAGACTCTTTATAAACTATTTATAAATGTAGAGGGGCACTCCAGGGAACAGGTGGAGGGAGGGGGAAGGGCATAACAGAGAATGCAAAAAGGTTTCTTGTAACCATCTATAACACCTTCCATTCATGTACTTAAAACTACCTGTAGAGCATACTATTCACACCTGTAACATGATTTAAACATTTATTAATCAACACTTCACAAGCCATTTAGAAATGCAACCTTAACTATGTCTAAGAAACTTCTGACCATCTGTAAGGCAGTGAGAGAAATAACTCCAGGATTCCCCTACATCCTGTGAAGTACAGAATTAAACACCTCCATTCCTCAAAATCCTTATTAATCAGGTGAAGGGACAGAACAAATAGGTGGGAAAAGCCATCCTTGGCATAGGCATATAGAGAGTCAGGAACCAGTGATTTACACATACCCCTGTCTCATCTGCTGGAGATTACTGGTTGGGGTTGGTGTAGCAGGGAAAGTCTAGCCAGACTCCACTGCCAGGAACTGGATGCCTTGACTTTGATCTTGCCTATTCCCTTCCATTGAAATAGGGCAGCCTGACACTACCGTTCTCCGATTAATGACTGTTAGAAGTGAAGCTGTGTCTTGCTTCCTTCCCCTCTCACCCTCCCTATCTCCGTAAGCCGGGGTGAAAAAGGGAGGGGAAGGAATCCACCGCTTGGAAGGAGGCAGGGAAATACTGGTATATAGCCCCCGTTTCCTCTTGCTTTCTCTTTCTTAAGTAGGCTCATGCTGTGGTATGTAACTTACTTGACCATCACATTTTAGTGCAGTTGTTTCCTAGATCAAGAAATCCCACATGATACCAATACCCATGAGAAGCTGTGATTCCATCCAGTAAAGGAACACTCAGATACATATACACCAACTAATTCAGTGGTGGGCAAGCTGCAGCCCAAGGGCCACATGCGACCCAACAGGGTTCTGTGTGTGGCCCACAAGATATTTTGTTTACCGTTGCCCAGGCGCAGGGATTGCCAGATTCTGCTGGTTTCTGCCTGCATAGATTTTTCCTGACGGTTTAACTGAAGTGACACACATGTGAAGCAAGCGCATGTGAAGTGAGACGTGCGGTGATTGCACGCAACAGCGACAGAGAGCCATGTGCTTCCTCTGCAGCCAATCAAAGTGCTGCTATGGCTCAATCGGCGCACCTCACAAATTCTCAGTAAGCAAGCGCCATTAGCAAAACTACTCTTTTCTGAGAAACCATCTTGGTTATGACAACATTGCAGCCCACTGACATGAAGGAGGCCCACTCTGCAGCTCCCTTACGAGCTTAGGTTGCCCATTGCTGATCTAGTTCATTACAATTTGAGCTGATCTAGTTCATTACAATTGCCCATTGCTGATCTAGTTCATTACAATTAAACGAACCACCTGAAAAGCAAACAGTAGGTGTTGTCTCTGTGATTTGGAACTGATAATCTACAGACTTCAGTAGTTCTGATTAAATGGCAAGTCAGATTCAAATGGACCACATAAAGTGTAAATAAAGCACTGACAGTGCCTCAAAATTAGCTACAACGAGTCATCTTGCCTTATTTTGGAATACTTCTAGGGGTTAATTTAATGATAATATTTATCACTAGAAAGCAAGGAGAAGATAACACATAGCCTTGAGTGCACTCTAGTAATCACTTCATTTTTAATTAAAAAATCAATAATAAATTAGGGCAATTGCTCAATTCTACAAAGGGGCCGATTAAGCTGTGCACTCTGGCTGCTTCACCCCACTGCAGAGCACACTGATTTACTCTGGCAAATCTGGCCCAGAATTTACAAGGACAAACTTTAAAATTTCTGCCTACCAAATGTTAATTAATCTTTTTCTAGCTACAAGATCCACATTGGCATGTACAGTTGGGTAGCTGACTACACCATTATCCCACCTGCATGTTCCATTGTCCATTTGCACACTAAAATATATGTCCCACATGCACAGTTTAGGTCCACTTTGAAAATCTGTCCCATGATTCATGTGTTGGACGGATCTTCATGTGGTGTAAATTTGTGCCATTCCATTACAGCCAGTTGAGCTAAGTGGATTTACAGAAATTGAGAATGAGGCTCGTAATATTCTTGGGCCTAAGATTATGTTTTGAGCCAAGGTCACATACATATGCAGACTCCACACACATCAGCGAGAGTCAAACCTGGGACCATTAGAAACAAAAGCAAAAATCTCTTCTTTCACTTGAGCTAAAGAACTCCTTTGCTTTAACAAAATAGCTAGCTGTAATAGTCACTGGCTCCACTTTAAGCCAGTATACTTCCCACTGGGCATTAAATAGTATACAAGGGTTATGTGGGCAAGAAATCCAGGACTGGGTTAGATGCAGAGGGTTAAGCAATACGATGTTGCTATGCATGTGGTTGGTTTTGAGAAGAAAAGGATTAAAGCAGATATTTAAAACAAAATTTGGTTTTGTATACGGAATGCTGTGTATACAGCAAACAGTCGCTTGTGTAGATCATTTGCAAGATTTCAGAACATCTTATTCTTCCATGCACAAAACTATAGTTGTGCATTACAAATTAAGTTACTATAGAATGAGCTAAAACAATATAAATCACTGTAATAAAAAGTCGATATTCCCATGTCTGCTTTCTAATACTGTGTAACTAACTGTGTACAAAAATATTATATATATATTCACAAGAGAACAATCCATTGCACAAACACTCTCTCAGAAGTGGTAGCTGAGGAGAAATCTTTGGCAACCCTTTGACATTACTGAGTCTATTAAACATATTTGGCATACAAAATGCTACCTACATGATCTCATGGGAAAAGATGTTAGGAAAAATAAAAAGGAATAGTTCAGTCTGTGTGTTAGCAGATCAAAATATCCATCCTTTGTCGTGTCAACTTCACACTTCACTGTGATCACTGAGTTTGCTGAAATTCTAAAATTGAAGAAACAGAAAGATTCACTCTATTATCACATATGGCCAAATCATCATCATGAAAGAGCAGAAAAGCAAATACCTAATTTTAAAATCTACATCAAGCACTGCAAAGAGATAAATCCCAAATCTATACAGCTCATCCTCATTATAAACAAAACAACAGATGAGCCACAAACCCACTGGTGTCATTAATAGAGAGTGAGACGTTACCTCTGGAAACCAGATATATATAGAAGAGCCTTGCTATTTTAGAATGAAAAAGTTTGCTGTGGAAGGTAACCATTGTGGCTGCCTCTCCACCTCCCGGTCAGTGCAAGACTGTTCTCTCCTGCAGAGAGATTCAAGCTTAAAATGGAACATCACTGGACTCCATCAGGAAGAGCTCCCTCTACTTTATTTCCAGCAGTGTCTTCCTCATGTCCATTCTCACCCTGCCCCTTAGTACTTCTCTGCCTTCTTCTCCCTTCCCAAGGAGTACTGAGAACAAGAAATATATCAGGAAACCTAATTCCAGTAAAGTGAACTTTCTCTATTGAGGTTTGCAAATTCTTCACACAAGTTAAGTATAATGGGCCAGCAGCATTCAGTGACTGCATGTGTGTATGTGAGTGTGTGCGTGCGCGCAGGCATGCGTGCATAGTTGGAATGCTCTGCCAGATCCTAGGGAGGGATTGTGTCTCATGAGATCTGATCTTTTTCCAAACCCAATGATGCACAGGATAATTCCTTGGGCTTGTCTGGGCAATTTTTAACTGGCTCTGTTCCTTGCTCAGAAGGATGGGTAGAGGAAGGAAGGTGAAGATCCCTTAACTAATGCATGAGGGTCAATCTAATCTAACACCTTTCAACATTTCTACTTGCCCATAATGTGTCCTTCCTGTCACTCTATACCCCAGCCCCATTTCCTCAAGAACTATCTCTTGTATTCCATACTATTTCTTCTCTCTGCTGTGATTCATACCTGACTGTGAAGAATTCTACTATGTCACACAGTGATTTTACACACCTTGGGGTAGAACCTAGGCATGAAATGATCCATGAAGTACACTTAAGTGTGAGAAATATTACAAAATGTAATAGTTGCCAACAGTTACCAGTAGCTGCCACCATTTTCCTCTATATAAAATGGGAAATAACACTGTAGTAAATTCATAGGATCCATTTGGAAAACACTGTTTTTAATAGTGTCAGTAATGCTAATGGCCATGGTGCAGCTGGCTCCCAGGGGAGAAGGGAATGGTTGACTAAGCAAATAGCACTGAAGGTCTAGGGGATTCTAACAAATGCAGGGAAAGCAGGTGATTGGGAGAAAGGAAGAGCTAAAAAGTGAACATCTGGGCAAATGTCAGTCAGTCAGTTTGGGAAGATAATCCCTTTTATAGGAAGGACAAATGAGTGGTCACCAGCAGCCCCAGATGACGTGGTGGAAATAGGTAACAGAAATCAATTCCTGGATCACATTGGGAAGTGTGTCTAGGATACACATTTCTGGAGGCCCACTCAAGCTTTTTAAGGCACCTCAGAAACTTTTGCATTTTGCAGAACCACTAGAGGTAGGTGGGCACTGGACATCAGGATTCCAGGGCTCTGCTCCCAGCTTGCCTCTGTGGTTCTGAACAAGTCCAGTGAC